TCGTCGATTCGAAGTTCTTATGATATTTCGTTTTTGTCGTTTCGACATGTGATGACAATATGATTTTACCTTCCCGTTAATTTAACGAGGTTCGCTGTTTCGTTGTGATTCTATTCTATCAGACATATTGGTGGTCGACGTGTAGCATCAGCGAACGTGGGCTTGGCACAAAAAAGTAGAAAAAGCATGCAATTTCGGTTGTGTTTCTCGCTTTTATTTGGAGATAGTATTTTTCTTTCTAGCAGGTCGATGCATGAACTCGTTTGCCAGGTTGTGTCCTGAAATCTTTTATGGATGCTTGTTAATGGCATGGTATGATATTGTGTTTATGCCAATAAATGCTTTTATTGCAGTCACTTGCAGTTTCACCCTATAGGCCCGACGTTTTTTACGTGAGCAGCGAATATTGTATGCTATTGTTTGTGGTAGAGAAGCCTGTTGTTAATAATTGTTGCGATCAGAAATTGATCGTCCCTAGAATCACCTCATGAAGGTTCGACAAGACTGAGTAGTGTGTCAGAATGTGTTATTTGTCTAGTCTGCAGTGGGGTACTCTATAGTGAGTACAACCCGATTAGGGTTTGCTATATGTACTGCCCTGCTTACTAGTGCAACCCTCTTCTTCTGTTATAACTTTCTAGCTACTGTTTTGACATGCTATCAGAGCAGATCGGCCCTCCCTGGTCGATCCTGTGGATGGGCCCACCTCATGCTTCCGCTGTTGTCCTGCCTATCGCGCGCCCCGGGCGCGCGACGTTTTCTGCCTGCCGCGCGCCCGGCGCACGCGGCGTATTTTCTTCACGCCGCGCGCCCGGCGCACGCGGCGTATTTTCTTCCCGCCGAGCGCTCGGGGCGCACGGCGGTTTTCTGCCCGCCACGCGCTCGGGGCGCGTGGCGGTTTTGTCGCCCGTCACGGCACCCCAGGGGCCCGCGCACCGTCCCTCCTTCGGTCGCCCGTCGCGGCGCCCCGGGGCCCCGCGCGCTGTCCCCTCCTGTCACCCGTCGCGGCGTCGCGGGGGCCCGCGCGCCGCCCCCCTCCTCCCGTCGCCCGTCGTGGCGCCCCGGGGGCCCGCGCGCCACCCTGCCCGTCACCCGTCGCGGCGCCCTGGGGGCCCGCGTGTCACCCCCTCCCGTCGCCCGTCGCGGTGCCCCGGGGGCCCGCACGCCACCCTGGCCGTCGCCCGTTGCAGCACCCTGGGTGCCTGCGCGTCGCCCCCTCCCGTCGCCCGTCGCAGCGCCCTAGGGGCCCGCGCGTCGCCCTGCCCGACGCCCCTCGCAGCGCCCCAGCTGCTGCGTTTCTGCCGCGTGCCGCCTGCGTTGGGGGTATGGGGGTGGAGGGTGTGTGAGCCGTCCCATGCTCCTCCTCCTCCTTCGTCTCCCACTGGTGCAGCTGCCGCTGAGGGGGGTGGGTGTGTGGGAGCCGAGGGAGTGGTGCTAGGGGGGTGTCGTGGGAGTGAAGCTAGGGGTGCAGTAGGGGGTGTGTGAAAGGGGTATGAGACAGTGGGGGAGGTTGAGTGGATGTAGCCGTCGTGTCGCCAGTAGCGCCAGTAGTCCGGAGTCGGCGTGCTCCGGTAGCCCAGCGAGCCTACTGCGCCAGTCGCCTGTGGGTTCGTTGCTCCTGCCGCTCGTCTTAGCCGTGGAGCCAGTTACTCCTGTAGTCCGGGGCCCTTGCTCCGGTAGCCACTCCGTGTGCGCGGCTCCTGTTGCCCGCGTGTCTGCGACTTCACCCGTCGCCTCCTATCTCCTCTCCTCTCATAGTCTCTCCTCCTCCTCACTTGCCCTCTGTGATTGCCTCTAGCTTTGCTTGTACTTGTGAACTCATTATGTGACTCCTTGCTGTGCTGACTATACCCCACTTTGACTATGGGGGTGTGTCAGAATGTGTTATTTGTCTAGTCTGGAGCGGGGTACTCTATAGTGAGTACAGCCCGATTAGGGTTTGCTGTATGTACTGCCCTGCTTATTAGTGCAACCCTCTTCTTCTGTTTTAACTTTCTAGCTATTGTTTTGATATAGTGGTGGTGGGCCCTTGAGCTCAATAGCAGACTGAATGTAAAATGCTTGAGATGGTTTAAGACATGCAAATACAAATGATATAAATAAGAGTATAGGGGAACACGAAACAACCTAGCTAGCCATGTACTTTAAGGGGTACATTCCCTTATTACAGCGAAATTTATCCGTGCGACTCCAGGTGGTTACGAAACCGTTCGGGCAGAACCCTCGCCACTGCTGCTGCCTGATGCCGTCTGCCCGACGGTCCAGATCCTTCCGTAACTGTACGACCCTTCGCGTCATTTATGTCTTTTCGTCTTCATCTTCGGTAGTGCGTGTTTCGGTTGCTGTGGTAAGGAGTGCACAGTGATGCTTCAATAATTACTACTTGTAACAATAATGACGTTTAGTAGTTCGTTTGCGTATTCTTGGGTACTATCAATTTATCGCTGATGTCGAGTCATATTAAAAGGTTCCACCCCACTAAGGCGGCTGTGCTTGCTCTGCTCGTTCTCGCCTCGAATTCGGCTGTCCAGCCCGGGCGACAGCAGGTAGTACAGTGATTGTTTCCTCCTTCTCATTCGTCAGTCGCCAGTGCACTTTCACGCCGGTGCACATTGAATAGCGGATCTGGATGGAACAACTTGCGTTGAACGCAGCACTGCTGACCACGACTCTCCCCGCCAAGCCTTCTAGGAATAGTATTCCCGGCAGCAGTCGCAGTCCCCACACGCCTTAAACTTGGCCTTTTCGCAACACTTTTTGTCTTCCACCTCTTCTCCCCCACTCCCCCCACCTCCCCTCCCTTGTGTTTTCACTCCCAGCTGCTCACTGGTGCTCGCTATAGCGCCATCGGTTATACTGGCGGCCGTCGCAGTCAGAATGGCGACAATGGGAGGGGCTTGACGAGCAATGGCGGTGATGGTGGGCGGGGGTTTGAGTTGTCTAATCCGCTGTCCAGGTTCGATGCATCTGCGGCATGGCACCAGATGCAGCGCCACACAGCTGACTCGTGCTGGAGTCAGTAGGAGCGACACCTGTACCACACGGTATGGCGTGAGAGGGTATCTGTGGCACACGGTATTTGTGGGAGGCTGTAGGTGAGGGGGTTGGAGGGCAGCATTTGTAGCACATAGTGTAAAGAAGGGAAAAAAAAAGAGGGGGGAGGGGGGAGTGGGGAGTGGGGGGCCATCTGTAGCACATGGTACAGTGTGTAATGTGTGAAAATGTTGTACCTGTAGCAAACATGTTATGGGGGTGGGATGGGACTTCTGTAATAGGGGAGGGGGGGGAGATGTGGGAGGTAGACATGTGTAGCACATGGCATGTGGGAGAAACATTTGCAGCATGCCGCTGGTGCGGCTGCTGCGGGGGTACTGACTTGAGAAACCTAGAACTTGAACGCAATTCGAACGGATCCGTCCAACAACAAATTTGAACAGGTTATCCACCCTGATCCAATCCCATCCAGGCCAATCCGTCCCTTCCTTCAGCAGCGTTCAGAGCTGCAGTGGAAGGTTTTGAAGCGATGCAGAGGGATTGTGTGGGGTTTTGAGAGGTGGACAGCTGGCAATGGGTCAGAGACAAGGCCACGTGGTATGTTGAGGGCACGTGGTGTGATGAGGGAAGGAACGTGGTGTGATAAAGGCATGTGATGTGATAAGGGCATCATCAACATCCCTGTCAGTCTGCATGTGTATGCTTTCATTCACTTCAAACTCCTAAGCACTCGACACTCACAGTACCCGCATCGTGCCTATTAAAAAAGGCAACTATTGATACAGTATATCATACATGATGCCACCTTTCTTTACCCTTTTCCCGTTTCTCCTTCTTGTCTTCCCCAAATTCACATCCGTCCTCTGTGAACCACCAGGAATGAGACCGTTCCTCGTTACGGCCATGACCGGATGCAGTGTCGCTACATTTCAATTCGTGACCTGGATAGGGGTATGCTGTTAGTGAGTACGTGCATGGCCTGGGATCTATGTTTTAATGAACGAATTCCACCTTGCTGTCAGGTAATACCTCCCTTCTCCTCTCAACCTCGCTGTCAAATAACACCTCCCCACTCCTCAACCTCGCTGCTAAATAGCGCCTCCATTCCTCATCCTTTACTCACTTGCATGGCCTCATCTCCATTGTGACCTGAACTGATGTAATCTGATCTGATCTGACTTGATCTTCTTATGCGCACGTAGGTCTGGGCAACAGGATTACATTGTACGTCGTCTCATTCGTGTTGGGTCGTCTCTGCAGGCGTGGGAAACAAGATCACAGCATACGTTGTCTCGTTCATCTTGGGTCTTCTCACCCATCAAGCCATCATCGCACCACCACGTGCCTTCCTCACTCGCCGCTTCTGCAACCCCTTCGCCCACGCCAACACTTCCTGGACCGTTGAACCCTTCACACAGCGGTAAGCCCACCCGTCCAGTGCAGTGCAAGGCGCACAGCACACTGGTCACACAGCAGTGAGTCAGTGACCCATCAGTGGTCGCACCGGATAGCACCGCACCGGATGGCAGTGCATCGTATAGCAGCGCATCAGATAGCACCCCCCCGCATAACACCCCGCCGCATATCACCGCACTACATCGCAGAGCACCGCACCGCATCACAGCATATGCACTGCACCGCATCGCATAGTACCGCACCACATAGCAGCGCATTGGATAGCACCTTGCAGCATAATACCCCACTGCATATCACCGCACGACATCGCATAGCACCGCATCACATAGCACCGCATCGCATTGCATTGCAGCGGCTCACAGAGCAGCAGTTCGCAGTGTGGACATGCGTAGGGAACCTTGTGTGCTGCTTAGTGGCCCACTGTGCGATTTCAGCCATCCATAGCTGAAGGCGGTCTTTCTGACAGGACATCCATTGCACACACATTCACAGCCCCACATCGCACCTTCCTGGCTTTCATCCTTTGCTCCCCCTTCCAAAGCCCACCTTCCTCCCCCTCCCCTTCCTCCCCCTCAAAACGTTGGTTCAGGATGCTGTTGTCAACAGTGCTGCGTCGGCCCAAGCTGCGCATGAGTGCACTGGCCAGGGAGATGAACACGCTGCGCCGTGGAGTGCTGGAGGAGCTGCGGGGCACCGTGCAAGAGGTTGGCACGGTTCTCCTGGACTTGTACCACAGGTGGGTGGCTGTTTGTCTGGACGTGAACCACAGCTGGGTGGCTGTTTGTCTGGACGTGAACCACAGGTGGGTGGCTGCTGGACATGAACCACAGGTGGGTGGCTATTTGTTTGGACGTGAACCACAGGTGGGTGGCTGTTTGTCTGGACCTGCTTGCAACATCATCAAGTGTACATCGCTCCATGGCGTGCAGTGCGCATCAGTGCGCATCGCGTGAGGGTCATGGTGGGGGCAGACTTCAGCGACCATGTCAATTCCTTCCATCCCTGGCATCCCTTTGCCAACCCCCCTGCCAACGCCGATGCCACGTAGCATGGTGCAGGGTGTGATCCGAGTTCTGCAACGATATAGGCTGCCACATCACATCCCTGCCATGCCCCACTCGTGCATGCGTGCATGCATGCAGGGTGCATATCAGGCTCAGAGTTCTGCGACCCTGCGACCGTGCGCTTGGAGTTGTGTGTCCAGCTGTGGGACGTCATATCAAGCCCTGCCATGCCCCCTGCCATGCCCCCTGCCATGCCCCCTGCCATGCCCCCTGCCATGCCCCCTGCCATGCCCCCTGCCATGCCCCCTGCCATGCCCCCTGCCATGCCCCCTGTCATGCCCCCTGCCATGCCCCCTGCCATGCCCCCTGCCATGCCCCCGGCCATGCCCCCTGCCATGCCCCCTGCCATCCTCCTGCCATGCCCCCTGCCATGCCCCCTGCCATGCCCCCTGCCATGCCCCCTGCCATGCCCCCTGCCATCCTCCTGCCATCCCCCTGCCATCCTCCTACCATGCCCCCTGCCATGCCCCACCCCACTCTGCAGGGTGCGATCAGAGTTTTGCGACCATCTGTGGGACGTCATGGGTGCGGCAACCTTCTGGTACACCAGCACCGATGCCTACTTCATTCCCTCTCTCTACTACATCCCCTCCTTCGCTGTGAGCCTCCAATTCGCCCCTCCATGTATCGTCCATTTGGCCTTGTATCGCAAGACCATTCCACTAGGCCAGCCGGGTCAGTACCAAGTGTTGCTGTACTGCTCAGTTTCCCAAACACACATCCACTCACATACACATCCACTCACATACACATCCACTCACATACACATCCACTCACATACACATCCACTCACATACACATCCACTCACATACACATCTACTCACATACACATCCACTTACATACACATCCACTCAGATACACATCCACTCACATACACATCCACTCCCATACACATCCACTCACATACACATCCACTCATATACACATCCACTCACATACACATCCACTCAGATACACATCCACTCACATACACATCCACTCACATACACATCCACTCACATACATATCCACTCACATACACATCCACTCACATACACATCCACTCACATACAAATCCACTCACACACACATCCACTCACATACACATCCACTCACATACAAATCCACTCACACACACATCCACTCACATACACATCCACTCACATACACATCCACTCACATACACATCCACTCACATACACATCCACTCACATACACATCCACTCACATACACATCCACTCACATACACATCCACTCACATACACATCCACTCACATACACATCCACTCACATAAACATCCACTCACATATACATCCACTCACATACACATCCACTCACATACACATCCACTCACATACACATCCACTCACATACACATCCACTCACATACACATCCACTCACATACACATCCACTCACATACACATCCACTCACATACAAATCCACTCACATACACATCTACTCACATACACATCCACTCACATACACATCCACTCACATACAGATCCACTCACATACACATCCACTCACATACACATCCACTCACATACACATCCATTCACATACACATCCACTCACATACACATCCACTCACACACACATCCACTCACATACACATCTACTCACAAAGAGATCCACTCACACACACATCTACTCACATACACATCCACTCACACACACATCCACTCACATAATATCTACTCACATACACATCCACTCACATACACATCCACTCACATACACATCCATTCACATACACATCTACTCACATACACATCCACTCACAAACACATCTACTCACATACAGATCCACTCACACACACATCCACTCACATACACATCCACTCACATACACATCCAGTCACATACACATCCACTCACACACACATCCACTCACACACACATCCACTCACACACACATCCACTCACATACACATCCACTCACATACAGATCCACTCACACACACATCCACTCACAGACACATCCACTCACATACACATCGACTCACATACAGATCCACTCACACACACATCTACTCACAGACACATCCACTCACATACACATCCACTCACATACACATCCACTCACACACACATCAACTCACACACACATCCACTCACATACACATCCACTCACATACACATCCACTCACATACACATCCACTCACATACACATCCACTCACATACACATCCACTCACATACACATCCACTCACATACACATCCACTCACATACACATCCACTCACATTCACATCCACTCACATACACATCCACTCACATACACATCCACTCACATACACATCCACTCACATACACATCCACTCACATACACATCCACTCCTGCGGCATCCACAACCAGGCGCGCATGTGTGTACATCCCTTTCTATCTACCCTATTCTCCCTCCCACCTATCTTCTCCGCAGGCACGGCTGAACGAGCTCTTCCCAGATGGCCGCGTGTACACACATGTGGCACGCTACCTGCTGCACCCAGATAACCAACTATGGGACGGAATCACAGCCAAATTCCACGTCAACCTTGCCCAATTCCCCCACCGCCTGGGGGTTCAGGTGAGCGAGAATGACGTGTGAGTTGCCAGCTCTTCAAAACGAGGCCCAGAGAGTTCTCTGCCTGTGAGGAGTTCTCTGCCTGTGAGGAGTTCTCTGCCTGCGAGGAGTTTTCTGCCTGTGAGGAGTTCTCTGCCTGTGAGGAGTTCTCTGCCTGTGAGGAGTTCTTTGCCTGTGAGGAGTTCTCTGCCTGTGAGGAGTTCTCTGCCTGTGAGGAGTTCTCTGCCTGTGAGGAGTTCTCTGCCTGTGAAGAGTTCTCTGCCTCTGAGGAGTTCTCTGGCTGTGAGGAGTTCTCTGCCTGTGAGGAGTTCTCTGAGGGTGGCATTTGTGTGCCTGTGACGTCTATCATTGTACTCTCTTCTTCACTTGCCATGTTGCTCATCAGATTCGGTCGCCATATGCAAACAAACTGCCAGTGGCCCATCGTGTGCTCGACTGCGCTATCAACATCTCTCACTACCTGCCGCCCACCACCCCTCTTGCACCAGTGAGGCCCCTCTTGCATTTCTTGCACCAGTGTTTCCCCACTGCTGTTCCTTCCCCAACTCCCAACGTTCAGCATTGCTGCTCCCATATCTGCGCTTTCTTCTCTTCTGTCCTGCTATCCACCGGCTACTCAGCTCCCCACCTTTTACTCCGCTCCCCAACTTTCACTCTTCTCTCTCCCTTCTACTCTGCTCCCAACCCCTTGCTCTGCTCCCCACATTTTACTCACCTTCCCAACTTCTACTATGCACCCCACCTTTTACCCTACTCCCCACCCCGTTCTCTTCTCCCCACCTTTCAACCTACTCCCCACCCCGTTCTCTGCTCCCCACCTTTCAACCTACTCCCCACCCCGTTCTCTGCTCCCCACCTTTCAACCTACTCCCCACCCCGTTCTCTGCTCCCCACCTTTCAATCTATTCCCCACCCCTTTCTCTGCTCCCCACCTTTCAACCTATTCCCCACCCCGTTTTCTGCTCCCCACCTTTCAACCTACTCCCCACCCCGTTCTCTGCTCCCCACCTTTCAACCTACTCCCCACCTCGTTCTCTGCCCCCCACCTTTCAACCTACTCCCCACCTCGTTCTCTGCTCCCCACCTTTCAACCTACTCCCCACCTCGTTCTTTGCTCCCCACCTTTTTCCGCGCTGTCCACTTTTCGTCTGTACTTAGGTGTGACTGCCTTGTGAACATGTCGTTCGATTCCATCTCCCCGCTTGACACCTACCATCAGAACGCATCACGGGCAAAAGCACGTGAATCACCATACGAGAAGATGGGGGTGTTTGTGTCGTCTCTCAACATTCACCACTTGGTGGATCTGCAGCACCACTACCTACACAGCCACGTGCAGGGCAGCAGTCACGTTGGCTTCTGGACGTGAGTGGTCCTTGCTCCGGCCCTCTTGATTCGCATGGTACATGGAGAGCACTGGAATGGGATGGGTGGATAGTGGACTTGCATTGCAGCACCACTACCCAAGCCGCAACGTGCAGGGCAGCACTCTCGTTGGCTTTTGGACGTGATTTGAAGCTGCCATTAGGGTTCATTGGGGGTGCCTCGATGCTTGGGGGTGCCTTGGAAGGGCCTCGAAGCTACCTTGATGGTGTCTCCAAGCTACCTTGAAGCTACCTTGAAGCTACCTTGAAGCTACCTTGAAGCTGCCTTGAAGGTGCTTTGGCGCTTTTGGCTGGGGGCGGTATGCAGTGGGTCTTACAATGGGATGGACCTGCGGCAATGATGCTTGCATTGCCACGTGTAGGGAAGCTCTTCCATTAACCTGGGACAGTAATTGGTGGGCATTGGCAACAAGTTTACGTGCAGCACCAGTACACACACTCCCTTCTTTTCTATTTCTGTTAACTTCTCTTGATTTCTTTGAAATTCTGCTGACTTCTGTCAACTGATGCAACACCTTTGTTTTCTCCCTCAATGCTTGTATGCTGCCTTGCGATGGCAGGATCACCAATGAAGAGGCAGAGAAACATGACGAGGGGCAGATGGTATCAGCTGTCTTGGACATGTGGCTGCTGAGCTTCTGGTGAGTTGACCTTGATCGTCGATTTTATTGAATTGATCCAAGCTTGTAGTTTGATTCTGAGCTTCGGAATCGATTTTGAGCATCGGCTGGAGTGGCCATCACCTTGATTGATTTGACTTCGCTGCTCCTGTGTTGGCCCTGGCTCACCTCCCCATCCATCCCTCGTCATGCTCTCTCCCTCCCTCGTGTTGCCTCCCATGTTCTGTCTTCTCTCCCCTACCCAGAGCTTCTCCCTGCCCTTCCCACCTCCCTCCCAATGACCTCCTTCTCATAACACACCTCCTCATCACTCCTCACTGCTGCCCTCCCCATTCCCTCCCAGTGACCGCCTGCTCATAACGGACCTCTCCATGTTCGGCAGCACGGCAGCAGGGCTGGCGGGGCTGAACGGCTTCTCCATGGCGGTCACAGTGCTGCACAGCATGAAAGTTGACTGGCGCAACTCCTCCGGCCCCACGTGTCAGCCAGTCTCCTCCGAGCCCTGTGAACCCCTCGGTGGCAATGTCAAATGGGTGAGCTGCTTGCAGCCAATAGCCAGGCAGACCACAGTGGCGTGGTATGGTATGGTGTGGTGTGGTGCGGTGTGGTGTGGTGTGGTGTGGTGTGATGTGTTGTGCTGTGGTGTCTAGTCTCTTTGAACTCCTACAACATGTCATGGGCTGTCCACGAGCGATCCTCATCAAAACCGTGCAACCCCTTACCGGGCGATGCCACATGGGTGCCGTTCTCCACTGCTCTACTTTCCTCGTCCCTCTATGGACCCCCCTCCTTGGTGTTTTCCTATCTGACCACATATTTGGTGTCCTTCAATGATGCCCCGTGTCCATGTCAGTGAGAGTGATTTGTTTGTTTCTTGGAATGTCATGTTCTTGTGAGTGCGTGCATGGAGCTTTATTTTGGGCGCATGCGTTTTGGAGCTCGTGTGTGCAGGGTGGGTGCAAGAATTTTCGGAGATTTGGAGCAAAACGCTGGTGGGAGAGGATGCTGGCGTTTGGAACTTGTCCGGGGATGGCGTTGGGATTGAAAAACAATATCCCTCTTATGGGGTAGGTGATGGTGAATCCTGCGGACATTTTGCAAATAACTTTGTATGTGTGAGACATCATACCTTCTTATTCCATTGACATTATTTTAGAAGTGAACGAGAGAATGAATGAACTATGAATAAGGTGAGTACAAATAGGAAACCCTAGTTGGGTTGTACCCCCTATGGGATACCCCACTATAGCCTACACAAATAAGTAAGCTATAATGTTCTGACACACCCCCATAGGCAAAGTGGGGGAGAACAAGGGGTCACAAGACCAGTCAAGCAAAGCAAAGCAAAGCTCAGGGTGGATCACAAAGTCACCACACATTCCGAGCACAAGTTCAAGGGCCACAAGGCCAGTTCACATGCAAGATCATATATAGAGATATACAAGAGTCAAGCAAGCAAGAACAAGAGTATATATAGGTCAAGGTACAAGCAAGGTCAAGAAGTGAGCAGTGAGGCAAGACAGGCACAAGACCCAGCTGCGTGCAGCAACGCTGATGATCACAAGGCGCAAGTGCCTTGGTGAAGACATCAGCAGTGTTGGCCTCAGAGGCCACGTACGCAAGTCGCAACTGTCCACGCTGCTGTAGCTCACGAGCAAGAAAGTAGCGGAGAGCAATGTGCTTTGTCCTGTGCTCCAGTCGCTGCTCTCGACACAAGGCCAGCATGGCCTTGTTGTCTACGTACAGGACTGGAGGAGAACGAGGCGGCTCTCCAAGGTCGGTCAGCAAGTAGGTGATCCAGCGAAGCTCCTGAGCAGCCATAGCCCCGGCGTAGATCTCAGCCTCACAACTGGAGCCGAGAACAGAAGACGAGCGGGTAGCCCGCCACAAAACAGAGCCGGAACCAAGGCTGAAGGTGTAACCCTGTGACGACCGCTGCGTAGCCTGGTCGTCAGCCCAAGAAGCGTCCGCGTGCCCAGTGAGGACCACTGGACTGCGCCCTCCAAGCACTAGCCCCATGCCCGACGTACTGCACAAGTAGCGCAACACCCTCTTCGCTGCAGCCATGTGCTCTGGTCGGTGTCTCCCAGGAGTAACATAGCGTGCGAGAATGCTAAGAGGGTATGCAAGGTTAGGTCGTGTGCAGGTCATCAGGTACATGAGACAGCCAACAAGCTCTGCATACGGCCCACTCGACTCTACGGACTCATCCGAAGGCAGAGCTGAGAGCGAGTGACGAGTAGGCAGAGGAGTGGCCTGAGGCGAGGAGTACGTGAAGCCGAAGCGCTGAAGGACCTGCTGCACCATGTGTGACTGAGTCAGGGTAATGGTGCGGCGTGCTCTGTCCCGGGTGATCTGCAAGCCAAGGTAGCTGCGCAGTTCACCCAGGTCTGTGCACGTGTGTCTCTTCTGCAGCTCGGACTTCACGTGGGCGAGTCCAGCAGTGTCAGCTGTGGCAAAGACCAAGTCGTCGACGTACACGAGGATGTAGAACGGCGGCAAAGAGGTGTCGGTGCGCAGAAACAGCGACGGGTCGGCAGTAGAAGGAGCAAACCCAAGTGCCGCCAGCGTAGTCCTCAGTGTGTCGTGCCACTCACGTGGCGCCTGGCGGAGTCCGTAGACTGGACGCCGGAGACTCCACTGGGTACCAGGAGGGAAAGACCCAGTGAAGCCAGGCGGGCGACGCAGCCAGATCTCCTCGTGCAGGCTGCCCTGCAAGAAAGCAGTGCTGAAGTCGAGAGAGTGCAGCTCGTAGTCACGGTGAGCAGCAACGTGCAGCAGTACCCGAAGAGTGGTCATCTTCGGGGTGGGGGAGAAGGTCTGAAAGTAGTCAACTCCCTGCCGCTGACTCAAGCCACGAGCCACGTAACGCGCCTTGAAGACAGGCGGAGAACCCGGCGGCCGCTTCACCCTGAAAATCCACATGCCATTGACTATGTTCGCCCCAGGAGGGGGAACAGCGTCAACGTAGGTGCCTTTGGACTTCCAGGAAGCCATCTCTGCATCCATAGCTGCCTGCCACTGAGAGGAGTAGGGACCCTCTATCGCCTCTGCGTAAGAGCGCAGGCAAAGGGGAGGCAGGCTGTAGCTGTGACTGTGACTGGACAGGCTGTGGACCCTCTAAGGGAGGAGGAGGAGGACCAGGAGAAGGTGTAAGACCAAGAACCTGCTGCAGGAGTGGAACGAAGTACGCTCGGGGCCGCGTGGCGACGCCAGAAACAGCAGGGACAGCACCAGTACCCCCAGCAGGAGTACCCGCTCCAGCAGCACCTCCAGCAGCACCTCCAGCAGCACCTCGAGTAGCTCCAGAACCCCCAGCAGCACCAGGAGTACTGCCAGTCGGACCGCCAGCAGTAGTCTCACCGCCAACACCCTCAGCAGCACCAGCTCCAGGAGAACCCTCAGGCCCAGCAGCTCCAGCACCCACAGCACGAGCACCTCCGGGACGCGTGGCAGCAGCACCCTCTGCAGCGGAAGAACCTCCAGCACCAGCAGCACGCCTCCAGCGCCGGGCAAACCACTCACGCAGCTCCTGTGGGGAGAGTGGCTCTCGGCGAGACGAAGCACCTCCAGGCGGAGAACCCCCAGTCTCAGCACCCCCAAGCTCAGCACCCCCAGGCCCAGCACCCCCAGGCCCAGCACCCCCAGGCTCAGCACCCCAAGGCCAAGCACCCCCAGACTCAATACCCCCAGGCTTTGCACCCCCAGGCTCAGCACCCCCAGGCGTAGCACCTCCAGACCCAGCACCCCCAGGCTCAGCTCCCGCAGCAGCACCAGAGTCACCAGTGACCTCGACAGGCTCGACCGCGTCTACCTGGGACACACCTGAAGGGGCAGGACCCTGAGGGGGGGGGGGGTCTACCGGGGGGGGACCTGGTACCAAGAAGAGCGGGGGCGGGGGGAGGGACGGAGTGCGGTAGGGGAAGAGGCGGTAGTAGGGTACCGACTCGTCGAACGTGACGTCCTGGGAGGACAGAACACGTCGAGAGGTGGGGTGGTAGAACTGCCACCCAGGGGCGTCGGAGGGGAACCCCAGGAAGACGCAGGGAGCAGCGCGAGGGGACAGCTTGTCCGCAGACAAGTCGCGAACAAACGCCCGAGATCCCCAGACCCGGAACGCCGACGCATCGCCAACCTTCCCCGTCCACAGCAGGGCTGGGGAGGTCTCCGGCCTGGAGACCCTGGGGTGGAGGTTGATCTGATGCGCCGCGTACCTGACCGCAAACGGCCACGGAAAATGGGGGGCAGCCGCATGCATCATGGACGTACGAGCGACGTCCATGACCATGCCAATGCGGCGCTCTGCAATCCCATTTTGTTGCGGTGAGTCCGGAAGCGTGAAGGTCTGACGGATGCCTCGCGCACGACAGAAGGCACGCAGAAGGCCAGAGGAGAACTCTCCGCCTCCGTCCCAGTGCAGACGCAACACAGGAAAGTCCGAGCCAAAGCTCTGCCTGAGCTGGAGACAAGCTGCGCGGATCCAGACGATCAGCACCTCAGTGACATCACCCTTGCTGCGCAAGGGGAAGACTGTGGTGTAACGCGAGTAGTCGTCAACCACCAACAGGAAGTAGCGCTCGTGACCGAGTCCACGGACGCGGGCAGGGCCCCACACGTCCATGTGAAGCGTCTGCAACGGAGCCTCTGTCGGAGGAAACTGGGAGGAGTGAGGGGCAGCACGCTGGCGCCCCTCGACACAGGGGACACAGGCAGGGCCAGGGCCCTGAGGAAGGGGAGGGAGGGACCGGGGGAGACCAGACACAAGAAGACGGGAGGCCATGCCTCTGAGCCGAAGCAGAGAGGGGTGGCCAAGGCGGTGGTGCCAGAGGAGAGACTCGTGAGACAGACGGCGACACGAACAGGGGGCAGACTCATGACCAGACCTGGACGCTGCAGCAAACACCTGACCAGACGAAGGGACTCTACCAGACTCAGCACCGGGAGGAGAAGCAGTGGTCAGTGTGTACAGGCTCGACCTTGGCTGACGTGTAAACGTAGCCAGGTGGCGACCTGTGCTAGCC